GGAGCTGATGCCAGGGGCTTGGGTGGAGAGTGGATGTTTTGAGAATGATGAGGACAATGAATGTACAAATGTGCTTTACACAATTGATGTATGTATGGATTGTTATAAGAGTTGTGTGAGCCCATAAAAAATTTTTTAAAAAAACCTGATAGACTAAAAAAATGAAATGTTTCAAGCTGATAAGCACTGGAAGTAGTCAATAGTCTATGCCAAGAAATTTGGAAGACAGCTACTTGGCCAATTGACTGGAAGAGATCCATATTTGTACTCCTTTAAAAGAAAGGTGATCCACAGAATGTTTAAATTGTAGAACAATATCATTGATATCACACACAAGTAAAAGTTTGCTGAAGATAATCCAACAATGATTGAAATGGTATAGTGACAAGGAGCTGTCAGAGAGTTAGGCCAGATTTAGAAGAGGATGCAGAACAAGGGATATAATTGCTGACACCATATGACTCTTGGTTGAAAACAGAGAAAACTAGAAAGATGTTTACTTGTGTTGCATTGACTATGCAAAGATATTCAACTCTGTGGATCATAAAAAATAAAATGGATAGTCTTGAAAAAAGGGGGAATTCTTCATATTTTGTTGTATATATGCAGAATGTGTACATGGATCTGGAAGCAGTTATGTGAACACAACGAGGTAATGCACAGTTCAAAATCAGGAATGATGTGCTTTAGAATTGTATCCTCTCATCATATTTGTTCATTCTCTGTGCTGAGTAATTAATCACAGAAGCTGGATTATATGAAGAATAAGGAGGCAGCAGGATCGGAGGAAGGCTTATTAACAGCCTTCAATATGAAGATGACACAACTTTACTTGCTGAAAGTAAGGAAAATGTGAAGCACCTGCTGATGAAGATTAATGATTGCAGCATTCAGGATGTACTATGGCCCAATACAAAGAAAACCAAAATCCACACCACTGACCAATAGGAAACATTATGATAATTGTAGAGAAGGTAGAAGTTGTCAGGATTTTGGCTTACTTGAATCCACAATCAACATTCAAGGAAGCAGCACTCAAGAGATCAAATAACACATTGCATTAGGTAAATCTGCTGTACAAAACCTCTTTTAAAAAAAGTATTGAAAAACAAGTATGTTACTTTGAGGTCTAACTGCACCTAACTCAAGCCATGATATTTTCAATTCTGTGATAGTCTTGTAACTTGGACATTAAATAAAGAATGCCAAAGAAAAATGAATGCATTTGAATGAGGTGTTGGTAAGGAATGTTGAGTGTATCAAAATAACAAAAAAAATCTCTCTTAAAAGTACAGCCAGAATGCTCCTTAGAAGTAAGAATGGTGAGAATTCATCTCACATTCTTTGGACATTAGGAAAGACCAATCCAAGGAAAAGGACATCATGCTTGGTGAAGTTGTGAAGCAGTGAAATAGAGGAGGCCATCAACAAGATACAACACAAAGGCTGCAAAAAACGAGCTCAAGCCTAACAACTGTGCAGGTGGTGCACGACTGGGTGGTGTTTCACACTGCTCTCCGAAAGGTTGCTGTGAGCTGAACCTGATCTGATGGCACCTAACAACCACAACAGTACAAAAGACAATAGAGACATGCTCAAGTGTACGGCAAGGTCACATTTTTCACTGGGCATTTATTTCATAACAAAGCTGTTTTCATCAAGTTTACCAATGATGCTAACATATGACAGGTTTATTAAAGATTCAGAAATTTTCCTTTATAATTTTAATATTAATAGTCACACCAGTTATTAATAGTCATAGATATCAACCACAAAATACAAAATATTTGGAATCTTCCATAATTCTTAAGAGTGTAAATGCATCATAAGACTAAAGTCTGGAATAATCTCTAAAATGCATCGATTACACCTGGAGAACTCATAAAAAGAAGCGTTTGGTAAATCCAACATAATTTAACAGAAGAATGTAATATAGATAGTCCATTCAAGAAATTTAATAAAGCCCAAAGATTGCTCATTAAGAGGTAGTAGATGTGCACTTAAATGTAGTTTTTTTTAAAGATTATAATTTCAAAGCAGAGAAATCCAATACATAGGAAAAAATTGGTGCTGCATGGGACACTGAGGTTCAACGAAAGCGGTAAACCCCAGAGAGTAAACAATGTGGCAGAGAGTTTGGGATGCAGATCCGAGTGTGGGCACAGACAGCAGGCTCCTTGATTCTCTGACAGGAAGAAGAGAACATTCCCATCGGAGGACTTCCGTTTTCCCTAAGAAGAATAAAGAAAAGCAATCAGATAGAAGGAGAAGAAAATGTCATGAATTACGTTGAAGGAGGATACATGAACACTTTAGGGAATTGCCATAGGGTTATAGAGCACTATCAAATTTGAAATCATTTGAAAAATATTGTCACTTTTAAGTGAAATCAGTCAGTTGCATATTTTCTAGCAACATTTATCTTCTTGCATCTAACCAGGACCAATTGCAGAGTTCATCAGAGTTGTGGAAATGTCAAGTCAAACAAATCTGACAGATTGAGTGTCAGGTTGGTTAAGAGTATTAGAATATGGTAATGGAAACAATATGTGCTCACAATTTACATGAGTATTTGAATACTGTAACAGAAACAGGATGTGCTCATATTTTCTTTTTCTCGACTATTATGTTTTCTAATATCATTTGCCTGCCTTTACGTAACCACTCTATTGTATATAGACTTGCTATGAATCAGAGCTGAATTGATGGCACTTATTGAAAACATAATCAGAAAACCAATTACCAAGAACCCTTTCTTCCAACTGAATAATAAACACAGCATGCAATAGTCCCATTTTTCTAGAGGCTGTCACTATTTTTCTTGACCTCCAGTTTCAGTAGAGAAAAGAAGTGGAAGTGGCCCAAACTTAGAGAGCCTTTCTGTCTGATTGATTGTGACTCCTGGGGACTACAGGACAGAGCACAACTACTCCGTAGAGGCTCTGAGCTGGTAAACATTTACTAAAGCAAACAGCTACCTCATATTTCTCCCATGAAGCAGCTGGTGGATTTCACCTACCAACCTCTCTGTTAGCCACTCAGTGCTCAACCTACTGTGCCACCTAGCATCCTAGGTAGAAGCCCAGTGCTCTAAAATTTCTGTCTGTGCTGTGGGCTTTTCTTGCTCGGATTATTTGCAGTCATCTGACCATAAACATTGCTATCTCGAGTATTTAAACACTTACTGGATGTTGAAAATGTACCTCTCACCCTTCTTAAATAAAACTATGATTATAATACCCTTCTTGCATTTCACACCTCCCGTCTCCTTAATGAGGAATACAAGAGAGCGTTGGCACCTTAATCTTGGTGACAGGAATTCGTTTACAAGACTTCAAACACCAAAGACCGGATAGGAGCTAGAGCAATGTGGAAAGCAAAGTCAATAACATGGTCCTCATCCAATTTTATCCTCTGGAAGGCTCACTGTGAGTGCCGCTACCCTCCTGACCCACAAACCAGAGCAATATTAATACTCTGCCTGTTGAGGATCTATTTTTATAGCTGCATTGGCTCTTCTCTTAACGCTTTCATGTGAAATGTTTCGGCCATCTTTAATACTGTTCTCCCCCAACATGTACACAAACGCTGTATAACACAGACCCCTTAAGATACACCAGTGAACTCTAAGATCAGTTGTTCTGCATTAAAAATAAAAAGACAGGAAACTTTACATCTAGCCTTCTTCTACAACTTCATTCAGTGACTGGTAACCATAAGCACCAGTATTTACAATAATGAACTGGAACTGAGAATTGCCTATCATTTCATGTGAACTAATTCATTTAATCCTCACAATAATCATCTGAGCTTGGTAGTTTTATCATTTACATTTTAAAGGTGAGGAAACCAACTTCCAGATAGAGGAAGAATGGTGCTTCAGGTAAAGGTAATATGTGTCAGAGCTGTGTTTTGGACCCTTGAATTCTAACTATAGGAATTAACAATAATCACTCTATATTGTCCCGGGAACTTACTGGGTTTCAACATTATTCTACTCTGTGTTATTTGTTCCTATTAAAATTTTTATCTATTGCCCTGTATTTTACAATACCTTGGTCTGAGAATTTATCATGAGGAAGTTGAATTTGCATGAAAATGAATCAGATCAACTGACACAAAGTCATTCTTAAATCCTCTCTCCAATATCATAACTGGAGAAAAATATATTAAGCCAAATGATTTTGCTATTTCAGACCAAAAAATATTGTGTCGAAGCTTAATATAGAACAGATGCTACAAATTCATAGTCATCCCAGTTCTCAGTTTTATTTTCAGTATCATAACGGTTTATCACATGACCTCTTTCATGGTCTTCAGGGACAAACACCATCCATTGGAGAAATGGTAGATCAGGGGCATAAATGATACCTGAGGGTCAGAGCCATTTCCTATAAGATGGCAACTAGCTCTTGAAGTTTGAAGACACCCCTGACCTTGGCCTCATTTGTCTGATAAGCTTCTCAGTCCAACTACTCAATAAGGGGTAATGGGACTTGCCTCAGAAAGTAGAATCAATTTAAGAATTTATTATTCTATCACTTAAAAAAAAGACAAACCAAACAAACAAAACCCTTCTCTTAAAGCCTAGCAACCAAATAGCCAATCTTACTGATTGAAAGCTTAATTCATTGTAAAGATTTGCATACACTGTTAGACACAGAGAAATCATAACACCTCCAATGTGCTAAATTCCTCATTTCTCCCACTGGATTTTTTCAGTGCTAAAAACAGCATCATTGCCAGTATTCCTGGCAAAAGCACTGCTAATTGACATTCAAAAGAATCCAATTCATGTGTTTACTGAGTGTGAACAAGAAAGGTTGTCACATCCAGAAGTTCCAAAATAGTTTTCTTTCTTTAGAAAATATGTATCTTCCCAGGAGAAGCAGCAGTTTTCTCACGTGTTATATTTTAATCTGTGTCATTGGCCCTGCCGAGTCAGAACAGAGGTGACTGTCGGGTAATTACAAGTGTCATTTTCTCTATTTGGCAGGTGTGGCCATCTGGATGCCCTCACCCCATGAAAAGGTTGACAGGATGGTCATTTGAAAACTTGCACAGCAAGTCTATAGAAGGTATGAGAGGTGGCACCCAGCAGATAATGGCAGGGTCAGTGAACAGGAACTTGGCTGTTATCGCTAACACAGACCATTCTTCCTGTCAGCAAGATACCCGCGACATGTCCTTTGCTGTGAGGGGATATGTTTGGGAGATATAAAAAGTGAATATAATTTCTAGCCACTTCAGAAACAGATAAGCATGAACACCTAAAAATTACACACTGATTTAAATGTATTTCACACAACACCCCACCCTTAAATTTTAACAGGATTTAACAAAATTAGTGTCATTGAACAGGGGGCTGTAGACCCATGTAAATATTTTTAAAGTCACCTCCATCATCTATGACTCTTTAATATGTCCTATGGGGAAAACTCTCTAGGATTAGAGTGAAAAACTAGAAAAGAGCCAACCTATGAATAGCTGGATAAAACGCAAGTGCTTTTCTTCATAATGTGGAAAATAAAGTAGTCTTAGCAGAACCTTGGAGATCACGTGAGCCAACTGTCTTCTTCTATGTAGCTCAGAGAAGTTAAGAAACATAGTTTTAAAAGTTCATTTTATTAAAATCAATATGCCTCCCATTTCCTTTCAAGAATTAAAAAATAATAATTTAGCCTCTTTCATGATGACAGAATGTCTTAGCTACCAAATGCTGACTGCAAAGTGAGAACTTCCAATCGGAGTCCACATTGGAAAGCCCGTAAACTGTGCTCTGTGTGCTTTCTTGGGAGAAGAGAAAAAGAATCTACCTCATATGTCTCTCCTCCTTCAACTAGTTCAATTCCAAAGTTCACAAAAGGTGCATTAGCCACTTCATTATAAAACGTTAGTTCATCTTGAGGTTAGCAGAGTTGGATTTTAAATAACTATAATCCGTTTGATAAGAACTACAACTCTAGGTAAGTCACAGTTCCCTCAACTTAAAATGTGCTTAATACTTCTTGATGGGCTTTGAACACCCCTTCACGGTTGTATCTAAGTCTTGAAATGGATGATCCTCAATCCCCTCCTATGTAGCTGTTGTTAAGTACCATTGAGTCAGTTCTGACTCCTACTGGTCCTCTGTGCAGCAAAAAGGACACTGGCTGCTCCTGCACCAATTGCTCTGACGTGAAAGCCCAGACGTTCGGCCACTGTGCCAATCCATCTTGTTGTGGTCTCTGCCTGTACCGAGCATGATGTCTTTAACAAGTGACTGGTCTCTACTGCTAACATGTCCAAAGTTCATGAGACAAAGTCTGGCCATCCTTGCCTTCACTGAGCATTCTGTCTGTACTTCTTCCAAAACAGAATAATTATGTAAAGTCAAGATTTTATGATATACATTATTAAATCATACATTGACCAAAATATAATTTAATTATATATGTATATATCAGGGACTCTAGTGGCACAGTAGTTAAGAGCTCTGCCGCTAACCAAGAAGTGGCTTGAAACGAATAGCCACTCTGCAAGAAGTGTTAAGAGATGGTTTTGTTTCTCTAGAGAACTCATCCTATGAAAATTAATACATTCCACAAATATTGATATCAACTACATGTGAACCCACTACTCTGGTGGGTGTTGTGACTAATAATAGTAAGTTATAACAGATCTTCTCTTGAAGGTACACATAGCATAAATGTCCTTAATAAAATTGGGAGGTGTGTTTGTATGTACATGTGCATGCATGTATGTGTGCTTGTGTGTATGTGTGCATACATATGTGTATGTCTGCAGGGAATAGTTGGTGATGACATATGCATATTCAATTATATCCATAGATAGTCTTCATATCATAAAATTATATATCAGAGCATATAGATTCATATATATATATAT